GTTGTCTCATTGCAAATTATTATTCCAGAAACAATTTTATAAAGCAAAAATATACCGAAATATTTTAATTAATTCTTTAAAATTGTAGATTATTTCAGACATTTTGTGAAACATTTACCCAAATGAAGAGTGAAATAGATAGTTATTTCATTTAATAATCAACAACTTCGAGAACCAAGTAAAATGATGTATTACGCGAATAAGTATCTTTCATATATTTTACGAATGCCTCAATCTGTTATATGTATAGTCGTCAGAATAATGTAAATTGTCTCATTAATTCGACTGTAAATTGAAATAATTCAACATTTCATCTTCTTATTTCAATAAATGTTTCCTAAAGTAATTTCTGACTCCATTTATCTCAACTACGTCGGAGATGAAGTTTATGCAGTTATTATCCGGCGATAAATTGAAAAGTGAACGATTCACAGATCAAAATCCTGCATTACCTTGTAAAATGCCGTGTAAACTTTATTGCTCATAAGTCAAATATAGTTTAATTAAAATAATAATTACGTCTTCGTTTTCAATATTCGAGCGAAACAAATTGTAAATTTTCGAAAGAATATTCTAATCTTTCCGTATCTTTTGTAAATATTTATTCAAAATAAAGAATCAAAGGTTCCTTCATAAAATCAGACAAAAATGTTGTTAGTAATAAAAATTTTAAATAGTAATGACAATTTTGTTAATAATAAAAATTTCAGTAACAAATTTCTAATTACTAATGATATAATACATTTGACTCAGCAGATAATAAATAAACGATATTAATAATCCCAATAATAATAACAATAAAATAATTTAATATAACAATTAAATTTTTGTAATTAATATTAAAAATCGAACGAACTATTATTCCAACAGAGAATTTCTCGTAAGCGACTAATTCTTGGTGTATTTGTTACTTGAAGCATTTTGTAAAACTAGTGCACATCTAATAAACAAACACAAAAAATATTCAAACATATTTAAAGTAGTCGAAAATATTTCTTAAAAGTAAATGAAATAAATAAATTTAATTTTACAATGGATTGTAAATTTAATTAGAAGATATATATATATATATATATA